AGATACCAAGATACTCTTTTTTTCTAGTTTTAAATAATGTCTGTTGGTCTGATGAGTATGCTGTGTGATTTAGTATCTCAACACTAGCCATGCACTATTATTATTGTAGCTCTCCCTAGTTTTTGTTTACAGTAATGGGTTCACTCTTCCGAGATGTATTCATTTATATATTGACAGACGATATCATAATTAATAAATGAACTATTGACTTCAATTTATTCTTAATTTGTAAAATGTTTCAATTCACTATCCTCTAATAATAATTTAAGAGAAATCTATCCTAAAATTAATATAAAACTATGACATATATAACTTTTTTGTTTTTATATCTCTAACAGTGTAAGATGACGACCCACCACATGCTACAATGGGTGAATAACGGGAAAACATCAGCAGAGAAGTACAACTGACTTCCTCTTGCGCAAGGTCCAACCGGACTATATATACTGTTAGCTCTAGAAGAAGTGGCATAGTTATCCGAGGTAAGAGATCAACAACTCTAAACATGAAGACCGTCTTAGTAAGTAAATTAAAAGGATACATAATATTAACAACAACCATACTGTAATGTGGTCGGAACATCTGAATTTAAAATTTCTAAATTAATTTCCATTATTTATAATGTTATAAATGCAACATATAATCATATAATACCTACTAATTAATTATTAATATTTTTTGCAAAAGGTTTGTCTGTTTCTGGCTGGAATCGCAGTCGCCCAACATGGACATGGTTGGGCAGGATGGGCCGGTAATGGTCTCGTCGCTCCAGCAGTAGCAGCTCACGGATTGGTCGCTCCAGGATATGCTGCCCCCAGTCTCGTAGCTCCAGCCCACGCCGGTCCCGCAGCTGGAGGCCCTGCTTCCCCTGGATACGTAAACAGGCTTCTTGCGAATGCTATAGCACGCCACAATACTCCATGGGGCGCAATTGGACACGGGCACTCACTCAGATATGGACCTCACTACTACCAATAAGCATTACATGTATATAACTAAATAAGACTGTTGAAATAAATATTTTGTAATAAACTTTGCCATTTATTAAATCAACCTCCCTAGCACAAGTAATTACGTTTCTTTCACTATATAAACAGAACATCCTTATCAAAAGAAACAGTTTACCGGATTCAATATATATTAATTCAATGTATTACTTGGAAATTATGTTGATATGAGTGACCCTAGATATTATGCAGTTAAAGAGGCTGAACGTATCAACATCAACTACCGAACTCAGGTTCAATCAACGAATGAAATACCGACACATGCCACAGAAGCTCTTAAACGATACTTAGAAATCTTAAATTTATTTGAAAAAAAAATTCTATCTATACAGGGAAAGAAGGTAAAGAAACTAAAATTTCGGTATCGGATTGTGACATTAATCAGAAATTTTTTTTAACGAATTAAACAAGTAATAATCGAATGATGCAATGTCTGGAGAGTAAGGTGAGGTATAAAATCCAAATTGTAAGAGCTTCAGTCTTACGGCTTGAGACTTATAATTTGAATGGAGCTTTCTACCTCAAGTCCGTACTCGCCAGATACTGTCTCATTTGTTAAAAAATTCTATCTGTGATAAATGTCAGAATTCCAAAACAGATAAAAAAAAACGCACCGCGATTAATATGTAACTAGTGAGTATTAACAATTTTGGAAAAAAGGTAAAGGAGACTTCCTGAAAGATGGAAAAAGGTAATAGAGAAGAACGGTTTAAATATCAACGAGTAAACCAACCTTCAACAACAAATAATAAAAAATGAAAGAACTTATTGAACACCCCAATTTGGACTTGTAAGATTATATAAGTAAGTTAGTGTTTTGTTTAACTGCGATAGTGAGTCAAAAGCTATTATTTATTTAGTATATATTAAGAAGGCGGGAAATTCTCGCTATTTTTCTGTGACAAAACTACTTAGTTCGCGCCTCTTGTCCCGGAACTTAAAAATTAGAATCTCTAAAACAATTATCTTGCCTACAGTTCTTTATGGATGCAAAACTTGCCCGCTTACATTAAGGGATGAGCAGCGTCTTAAGGTTTTTGAAAATAAAGTATTGCGTAGAATATTCGGACCGAAGAAGGATGAGTTAACCGGGGAGTTCAGACGGTTACACAACGCCGAATTGCGTGAACTGTATCCGGATAACATAATTGAGGTAATTTCATCGCGGCGAATCAAATGGGCTTGTAAAGTTGTTGGACTTAGTAACGAGAGAATTCCTAAAAGGTTAATATTTGCTGTGCCGAATGGTAAGCGTCCGAGGGGTAGACCGAAGCGAAGGTGGGAAGATTGCATTAAAGCCGATCTGAAGGTACTGGGTTTGGACGGCGAACGATGGAGGGAGGTGTGTAATAAGCGATTGGTGGTGTCGGCATCGAGCCTTCGGGTTCGCTAAGCCTTTTTATTATTATTATTATATATTAAGTATTTTACTTAATTATTTTCGATGCTCCGTTCTATGTAACCATCAAAACCCAAAATCATGATTAATATCTGTCCTCGACCTTATCCCAGAAAATTTTTCCAAATTTCATCAGAACCTTATAAATCATTCAAATCCCCTAGCACAATCCTCCCCGAAGATTGCAGCGGCAGTGGTCCAGAGATCTTTTGTACTATATATCTTAGAGTTCTGGCAACGGCCAGATTCTCCACTCAAGACATCAGTGTATTTGGCTAAAGCGCGCTCTCTCAACTCCACTGACTTTAGCACCAGTGACGCGGTTGAGAGAGTAGCGCAGGGATACCTTGGAGTCCTGTTTTTCCTTCTATAGTTGGAAGGAGAAGCCTGGCTTTGGGTCCCCTGCCTAATTGTATATATTGTATATAGGTATGACTGTGTTTTTATGTTTTTAATTTACTTATCTTTAGGTTATTTTATTTTTTTATTGTCCATAGTTTTTTATTAATATTTTACTTTTATTAATTTTATATTTTCTGTATATATATTCTGTATAGGTGTGAATGTGTTTATATATCACTATAATTATTGTCCCCGTGACAGATTATCATATTTTTAAATAAATAAATTTTTAAAAAACTTAAATGTCGAAAATAGAATATATATTGAGAATAGGAAATAACAAAAAAAATATCATCAACCTACTGTTTTAGTATTTTTTTAATAAATCAGAAACTTTAAATTCGATTATCTCAAATTCAATAAAATGTTGGGTATATTTTCACATACCAATGTCATTAAATTCTATCATGTCAATTCGATATGTTTTTTGAGACATTCACATCTTGCACTTATCTCAAGAAGAGGTTGAATTCTCAATAGTGATTCAATTTGAGTAAAATACATGGTAATCTGTTCTCAGAGTAAGATTTGCGCCTCTCTACTTTTTGCTCTGTAAAGTCAGAACATCGTGCACTTAGTGATACTATTTGTTACATATGAAAGTATTTGTATTATTTTTATGCAATTAATGAGTTATTGTATCAACATTTTTTTAAAATTTAATTATTGAATATTACAAAATTCTGTCATTTGGACATTGGTTATGAGGTAAGATCACATTCACACTATATATATACAAAAAAATACAAAATAGACTGAAGACAAACAACAAATAAATAATAATCAAAAACTATATACAATAAATAAAATAACTAAAAAATACGAAATTTAAGAACAGCTAAAACACATACATACGATGAATATGATCAAAATTAACAACTACATACGTTCAGGTAGAAATCGACCAAAACTGTACTTTTGTTCCGTGGCTGTCACTGCATAGTGACATATCCAAATGACTGAAATATTACTTTATACAGGTTATCCGATTTTCATAAAATGTTCTGTATGGCTATATGTTCACATATCAACCTCATTAAACTATATCGAGTAATTTCGCTTACGCAATATGTTTTATAGATATTCCTATATTTCTGAAACAGGCCGTTCGATTGGTCTTAGTGTTGCCCAAAATCGGTCCAAGGCCGACTAACTGTTGCAGGATCAAGACCAGGACTAGTAAAAAAAAATCGATTTTTTAAATAAAAATTAAGGCAAAATAGTTACTAATACTTGACAATCTTAGTTACTATATGTAAAGAATTAGTGTAACCAATATATGTTTGCATTTAACTCCTCTAATTTTTCATTTGGGCTTAATTAGGTTTTCCCTATCTAAACAATTACAGTAATATCTCTATAGAAATCATCTAATAAGTAACTGCAAGACTCTTGCGAGACTCTTGCGCAAGACCAAGACCAAGACTGAGTTTGCAAGACCAAGACTCGTCTCGGGCAACATTAATTGATCTCAATGTAGAAGGAAAGTTGGCGATCTGTGAAAAAGTTATATGGTTAAAAAAAAAAGTTATAAAATTCACTACCATACATTTTTTCATATGTGCAAAGGTGTTTTCTTTGATAACCCCATATCTCAAAGCCACTCGTTCGATATGACCCAAATTTAGAGGGACTTAGGAATTGGTGAACAAATAATAAAGTTGTTATCAGCCTCATCATATTCCATTAACAACATCAAAAACATAAAAAATGATCTGATAAATGACACAAATCCTAAACAGAAATGTTTGCTACTTTATTTCCTTTCCGAGTATAGGTAGAATTTTTTCTAGTTTGGTTTAAGAGATTCTGTGGCAGGTTCAGTCATTTCATCCGTGGATCGAACAAGGGTTCGGTAGTAGACGTTGAAACATCACACCTCTATTAACTACATACCTTGTAACTTGCATATCAACATTATTTCCAAGAGATTCAGCGTTTTATTATTGTTTATTAATTTAATATCTTTATCCTAGATTTTTAATATCTGATTGATGTGCATTAAATAAATAAATATTGGTTTCGAAATCACACAAAACCTTTTGTCAGTTAGATATTTTTTTTTTATATTGTTCGGTTTCTTTCTTTTTTTTTTATAGGGCAATATTTTTTTAATGTTTAATAGTATATTAATAATAAAAAAATTAATTGACTCCTACTATTAATCAATTTATATCTGTTTTTTTTTTTTTATAAGGATATTCTGCTCATCTAGTAAAAGGAATGTAATTATTTGTGTTCGAGAGTTTGCTTTATTAATGAAAAAGTTTATAACAAAGTGTTTATTTCATTAGCCTTATTCAGTCATATACATGCAATGTTTATTGGTAGTAGTGAGGTCCATATCTGAGCGAGTGTCCGTGTCCAATAGAGCCCCATGGAGTATTATGGCGTGCTATGGCATTTGCAAGAAGTCTGTTTACATATCCAGGTGAGGCAGGGCCACCCGCTGCGGGACCAGCGTCTGATGGAGCTGCGAAACGCGGGGCGGCAACTGCTGGAGCGACCAATCCATGCGCTGCTACTGCTGGAGCGACGAGACCATTACCGGACCATCCTGCCCAACCATATCCATGTTGGGCGACTGCGATTCCAGCCAGAAACAGACAAACCTTTCGCAAAAATTATTATTAATTAATTAGTAGGTATTTTATATGTTGCATTTATAAAATTATAAACCATGCAAATGTATTGAGAAATTAAAAATTCATATCTTCTGACCACATTATAGTATGTTTGTTGTTAATAGTATATATCATTTTCTTTAACTTACTAAGACGGTCTTCATGTTTAGACTTGTTGATCTCTTACCTCGGATAATTATGCCACTTCTTCCAGAGCTACCGGTATATATAGTCCCGTTGGGCCTTGGGCAAGAGGAAGTCTGTTGTACTTCTCTGGTGATGTTTTCCTGTTATTCACACCTTGTGGCAAGTGGTGGGTTGTCGACTTGTCTTTTAGAGTTTAAAAAAATAGTTATATATGCCGTAGTTTTATATTAATTTTAGGATAGAGTTCTCTTAAATTTTTAGTAGAGGATAGTGAATTGAACCATTTTACAAATTAAGAATAAATTGAAATCAATAGTTCATTTATTAATCTCGGAAGAGTGTACCTAATCTGTAAACAAAACAAAAACAAACTAAAGAGAACCACAATAGTAATAGTGCATGGCCTCTCAACAGTGTTGAGTCACTAAATCACACAGCATACTCATCAGACCAACAGACATTATTTAAAACTAGAAAAGAATTACATTTGGTATCTTTTGAATAGAGTAAACATGTTAAATGTTATTTCATTGCTCCTATCACCTACCCCCACAACCTATCGGCAAGCTCCTTGCATCCTCTCTTATTTTGTCCCAGTTTAACTAAGGATGTGTGGTTTACAGAGGCATCCCATCCGGATGGTATTCGAGGATAGATTGAAGCGGCTTGTGAACTTATTAAGATTTGGCTCCGGTACTTCGAGGCGGTCTCACGTGTCCTACGTTTACGGCGAATTAAAATGGCACAATATTTCCTTTGATCTTACCTATTCTAAATGATAAACACCCTTCCTACATCTACAATCTCCTACAGTTCAAACATGTGGTCCACTCCCAGAATAACAAGATCCGGCGATTCTGTACTTTATACACCTTCACATTTTAATTTTCGCCCAAGATATTTTAATATTCCTTTATTCATTTATTTATTCAATAAATTGAAGTGAAATAAATTTTAGGAATCAAATTTTGGTTGAGTTAGATGGTTGTTGAAATTGTTTGTGTTTTAATTTTAAGAATCAACTCATAGTGCTATTACCATTTTTTTAAAATCTGTTTCCCCCGATTTCTGTTTTTCTTTTCATTTCAATAATGTTTGCATTTTTAAAATGGTTTTACTTTTTGTTTCTTCTTTATTTTCACTAAAGATGTTGTATACATTATTTAATTTTGATAATTGTAGTATTTGGCCGGATATGTTTTTTGTAATGGTGATTCCTAGGTTTTCAACGCGGTTTTCAACGGAGGAGCTGAATATGAAGGGATAATCGTTGATGACTAAAACAAAAAGAAAGGAGTTGGATTTAAGAGTTTGATACATTGTCAAAAGACAAAATATAATGAGGGAAGATTAAAATAATGTGAATTTACTCTTTATACTCTTTATCAGGATTCATTCAATTTACCTATTTAAACAATGGTAAAAAGATACCAAGTACTCCTTTTTTCTAGTTTTATATAATGTCTGTTGGTCTGATGAGTATGTTGTGTAATTTAGCGACTAGACTCTGTTGAGAAGCCATGACTATTATTATTGTAGTTTTCCCTAGTTTTTTTTTTTTTTTTTTTTGCAGAAATCCGTACAATCTTCTGAGACTTATTCTTTTATAGATTGATAGGCGATATCTTAATTAATAAATAAACTATTGATTTCGATTTATTCTTAGTTTGTAAGATGTTTCAATTCACTATCCTCCACTAATAATTTAAGAGAACTCTATCGTAAAATTAATATATAACTACGATGTATATAACTATTTTTTTTAAAACTCTAATAGGACAAGTTAACGACTCACCACATACTAAAATGGGTGAATAACAGGAAAACATCAGCAGAAAATACAACTGACTTCCTATTGCACAAGGCCCAACCGGACTATATATACTGTTAGCTCTAGAAGAAGTGGCATAGTTACCCGAGATAAAGATCAACAACTCTAAACATGAAGACCGTCATAGTAAGTAAACTAAAAGGATGTATAATATTAACAACAAACATACTATAATGTGCTCAGAACATATGAATTTAAGATTTCTAAATACATTTCCATGGTTTATAATTTTATAAATGCAACATATAAAATACCTACTAATTAATTATTAATAATTTTTGCAAAAGGTTTGTCTGTTTCTGGCTGGAGTTGCAGTTGCCCAACATGGTCATGGCTGGGCAGGATGGGCCGGTAATGGTTTCGCCGCTCCAGCAGTAGCAGCTCATGGATTGGTCGCTCCAGCAGTTGCCGCCCCACGTCCAACTTACGCCGGTCCCGCAGCTGGAGGCCCTGCCTCTCCTGGATACGTAAACAGGCTTCTTGCGAATGCTATAGCACGCCACAATACTCCATGGGGCGCAATTGGACACGGGCACTCTCTCAGATATGGACCTCACTACTACCAATAAACATTACATATATATCACTGAATAAGGCTGTTGAAATAAACACTTTATAATAAACTCTGTCATTTATGAATTCAACCTCCCTAGCAGAAATAATTACGTTCCTTTCAGTATATAAACAGAACATCCTTATCAAAAAAAAAAAAAAAAAAATAGATATAAATCAATGAATAGTAGGGTCAATTTATTTTTTATTTTTAATAAACTTTTAATTAAAAATTAAACATTCGAAAAAGCTTGTTCTAGAGAATTAAAATTCTTGGTGGATTCTCTAAATAGACAAAAAAACTCGACAGTTTTAGTTATTTTAGAACAACAAAGTAAACTGTTACTTAATTTGTTAGAAAATGGGTTTGCTGCTGTAAAACCTGAAGATATTAATTTCATCAATTATAATATAGAGAATAGTTATAAAAAAGAACACCTCATATCACTATGTTTATCAATATTTTTATATTTTTACAAAATAGAGATAAATGTCACATGTCCAAAAACAATATAAAAATGCTATAAAACAATTTTGGAAAAAGGATATAAGAGCCTTCCTGGGAGATGAAAAAAAGCTAGGTAATAGAGCAGAATGGTTCATATAACAAACAGAAAATCAAACTTTAACAGCAAATAAAGAAAGATGAAAGAACTTATATAACAATCTAATTTGTACTTGTAAGAATATATAAAGTTAGCTAGTGTTTTGTTTAACTGCAATAGTGAGCAAAAAAACGTCTTGCTTTCTCACAACCGAAGGTAGGGAAGCATTGTATTCGTGCGAGAGGTAAAAAAAGTGTTTGTGTTCAGAATGAAAAATTTTCATACGCATTTTACATTTCAGTCATCAAGGATCAAATTTGGTTCAGTGTCTGTATGTCTGTCTGTCAGGAGTCAAATCGATGTAACAGCATATCACCTACTACCGTTTATTCGATTTTCACGATTTTATAAAGAATTGTGCGGGTTGGTGTATAGATGGCCTAGAAATATGAATTTTATTGAATTCTAAGCAGAACTTCCGCTTACACACGCGTGAACGCATTATTATTGGTAGATATTCCAATATTTCAGAAACGGCTCATTCGATTTGGAACAAATTTAGATAAAAGGTAGGTATTTGTAAAAAAAATGTATAGTCAATTTTATTGAATTTAGTCCATTTCTTTCTCTTATGAGTATATATGCTCAAAGGTATTTTCCTTGATATGTCTATACCTCTAAAACCGCTCGAAGTTCGATATGGCTAAAGATTAGGAGGGACTTTAGATAAAATGAAATATGCTTCAATTTTAAATCTACTACTCAAAAAAAAAAAAAAAAAACTTCCATTTTCAGATCAGGAAGTGTTACTTGATATGCCTATAGTTTGAAAACGGCGAATTCGATTTGACCCAAATTTGGAGAGCAGTATAGAAATTATTTAGTATCAATTTTATTGAATTACATTTAATAATTAAAATTAATATAAATAATTGTAAACAATATAATGACCGTGAAATTTATAAGGCACTGATCATTTGGAGTGGGAGTTAGGTTATCACAATATTGTTATGGGGTTATAAAATTTTAGGTTTAATTCAAAAATTAATTTATATGGTATTGTTTGGTCTATTCCAAATGTTACTTACATGACACTTAGTGCCATTATTTATATTTCGTGTAATTTTTGAGTCAGCATAAAAAACCTCTTGATTTGTGATTATGTTTATTTCCATTGAAGTTCAACCAGTTCGTCTTGGTCTCGATTTCCTCAATAAATATCAAAATGTGTGAACTTGACCCATTTTTTTATATTCAAGGTTAATTAGTTTTGTTCTGACGGGAGAAACTTATTGGTCTCGTTAACGCCGAAGAAACAACAAGTTGAATTTTTCCTATGGATTATCTAGTTAAATCTATTTTACATGTGCAAACATAAAAATAAGGTATTTATCACCACTATTAGTGCAAAAGGTTGTAAGTAAACTGTTTTAACTTTTATTTTATTTGTGTTAAAAGTGACATTTTGTAGTGTGCAAATGATATAATCAGCCTGTTTCTATAAATAATAGACGAGGACGATAAAATATGAAATTATACTAATAAAGCATAAAGAAATAATGAGTTTTTAAGCTCTCTTGTAAAATAATCAATTTTTATATATTACCTTTTGCACTAACTGTAAGAAAGTGCATATTCGGAATGCATTAGTTTTTTTTTTTTTTAATTAGGAATAATCAAATATGGAATCATCAAATTCGACATTCTTTCGCATTTTAATATTTTCTGACAAAACGAAATTTGTAGATATAAAATCCGCGAATGAAGGGTAACTGTATTTCCGAATTGGCTTCTCCGAGAGATTTTATTCTCATACGAAATATTGTATACCAATTAATATTTTAATATTTTAGCCAATCCAAACTGTGAGGAAGCTATACTGACCATACTTGGCAGAGATTTTATTTTTTTATTGTTATATATATATATATTAAGTATTTTAATTTATTGTCGAAAATAGAATACATATTGAGAATTGCAAATAACCAAAACAACTTCAAATTCGATTATCTCAAATTCAATAAAATGTTGAATATCAATTTCATTAAATTCTATCCTGTTATTTCGATATGGTGTTTGAGACATTCTTATATTCCCAAAGCAAGTCATTCAATTTGGCTTCATGTTCAATTAAAGTTGACAATTGGTTAAAAAGTTAAGTCTCAGCAATTGTGGGAAAAGAAAATATGAGACTTCCTGAGAGATGTAAGAAGATAATACGAATAATTATAATTCTACAACAGCTTCCATCGATTTTTTAGAAGAGAGCAATAAACTACTTCGGGTGTGCAGCATGCACCATCGTCTTCGGAGAGAGAAGGGACTTGATAGAATAGAATTTAAACTTTATTCTGGGACAAGGTCTCTTAAGAGTCACAATTATAAATATATATATATATATCTGAACACAAACTACAATAATCAAAATTAGAGAATATATACAATCCCTGTAGTAAAAGTATATAAGAAACAAAAAATAATACCATTTTTAAAAACAAAACCAAAAATACAAACATTACTGAAATAAAAAACAGAAATCAGGAGAAATAGAAAAAAAAATTGTTACATGCACTATGAGTTGATACTTAAAATTAAAATTCTAACAATTTCAACAACCATTCACCTCAATCAAAATTTGATTCATAAAATTTATTTCACTTCAATTTATTTCAGGCAATAAAGTAATATTAAAATGTCTTAGTTCGATGGGAAGGGTCACGGTCGGAATCACGGGATCTTCCGGGAGTGTACCACGGGTTTGAACTGCAGGAGATTGTAGATGTAGGGTGCGGGGTGTTGATCGTTTAGAATAGGTATGATAAAAGGAATTATTGTCGGCGGGAAGAAAGGAAGAGCCATTTTAACTCCTCGAAAATGTAGGACACCTGAGACAATCTTACACCTCGAAGTAGCAATCTTATAAAGAAGTTCACAAGCCGCTTCAATCTATCCTCTAGTACCATCGGGATGGGATGCCTCCGTACACCACACAAACGATGAAATAACATAAGGGTACCTATTGACCTTTGGGAAATAGAGCGATATGGGGTTTCCAGGAGAAGTTTTCGTCAATAGTGATTCCTAAGTTTTTAACGAAGGAGCTGGAAATTGATGGGATATCCGTTCATGAGTAAAGCAGGAAGGATACAAAATATAATGAGGAAAGATAAAACAACTATTCCTTTCATCCAAAATTATACGTTCTTTTAAAGTTTTTATTGCATAAGGTACTATTTTTTGGGATTTGTTCAATTTAATTATTTAATAAATGATTTGCCTCCACTGGCTTAATATACCAGTGACGCGGCTGGGAAAGAAGCACTGGGATCTCCTGGAGTCCTGCTTTGGCTTCCACAGTTACAAAGCTTGATTCGGAGTCCCCTGGGCCAATGTAAATATTGTATATAGGTGTGAATGTGTTTTATTATTATTCGGCTGATTTGTTGTTTTAATTATCTTGTATATTACTTTATCTTTATATATATATATATATATATATATATATATATATATATATATATATATATATATATATTTTTTTTTTTTTTTTTTTTTCCCTTTCTTATGTACATGTGTGAATTAATACTATAGCCCTAGTACTAATACCCTTCAGTGTGGCAGACTGTATTAACACTCAATAAAAGTTTAAAAATAAATGATTTAACATGTTTACCATGGCCAAAAGAAGCCAAGTAACTATTATTTTTTCTAGTTTTAAATAATATCTGTTGCAATGATTAGTATGCTGTTTGATTTGGCAACTCAACACTGTTGAGAAGCGATGGACTATTATTATTGTTGTTCTCTCTAGTTGTTTTTTTTTTTTTTTACAGTAATAAGCACACTCTTCCAAGATTTATTCTTTTATAGATTGATAGGCGATATCTTAATTAATAAATAGAATATTGATTTCAATTTATTCTTAATTTGTAAAATGTTTCAATTCACTATCCTCTACTGATAATTTAAGACAACTCTATCCCAAAATTAATGTAAGACTACTACGTACATAATTTTTTTTTAAAACTTTAATAGGACAGGTTGACGACCCACCACATGCCACAAGGTGTGAATAACAGGAAAACATCACCAGAGAAGTACAACAGACTTCCTCTTGCCCAAGGCCCAACGGGACTATATATACTAGTAGCTCTAGAAGAAGTGGCATAGTTATCCAAGATAAGGATCAACAACTCTAAACATGAAGACCGTCTTAGTAAGTAAATTAAAAGGATATATAATTTTAACAACAAACACAACAATGTGGTCGGAACATCTGAATTTAAAATTGTTTATAAAATACCTACTAATTAATAATTACTTATTTTTGCAAAAGGTTTGTCTGTTTCTGACTGGAATTGCAGTAGCCCAACATGGTCATGGTTGGGCAGGATGGGCCGGTAATGGTCTCGTCGCTCCAGCAGGAGCAGCTCACGGATTGGTCGCTCCAGAAATTGCCGTCCCCAGTATAGTCGCTCCAGCGGTTGCCGCCCCCCGTTTCGCAGCTCCATCCCACGCTGGTCCTGCAGCGGGTGGCCCTGCCTCCCCTGGATATGTAAACAGACTTCTTGCGAATGCCATAGCACGCCACAATACTCCATGGGGCGCAATTGGACACGGACACTCACTCAGATATGGACCTCACTACTACCAATAAACATTGTATGTATATAACTGAATAAGACTGACGAAATAAACACTTTGTAATAAACTTTGTCATTTATCAAATCAACCATCCTAGCACAAATAATTACGTTCCTTTCACTATATAAACAAAACATGGTTAAAAAAAAAAAAAATAAATAAAAAAAAAAATGAAACAGATATAAATCAATGAATAGTAGGAGTCGATTTATTTTTTATTAATAGTGAACTATTAAACATTAAAAAAAAGATCGCCTAATAGAATATAAATCCATGGATTTGAAAAATAAAAATGTTATAATTACTCTCTAAATCGACTTCTTTAGTTATTTCTAAACTATACGGTAATCTTTAACTTAATTAAAAAATATATATAATTGTTAATTTTAAAAGGAAACTATTACTTTATAAGAAAATGGTTAAATGGTCAGTTGCAATAAAACCTCAATGTGAATTTCATTAATTATAACATAGACAATAGAAAACTAAACCTTATAACACTATTTTTAGATTTAGAAAAAATAAATAATACTTTGTGTAGAAAGCGAATCCTTATTATTTTAGAAAAAAAAATAAAATAAAAAAAAAACTATCCGGAATAATATTTAAACAATTTCCAAACGACTGATGGTTTACAGGATTCAATCCATATTAATTCAATGTACATCAATCAGACATTAAACCACTAAAAAATCTAAGATAAAGATATTAAATTAATAAACACTAAAAAAAAAAAAAAAAATGTGTCAACAGTATGCAGGCAGCATGTGTCAACATCTAATACCGAAGTTTTGTTTAATCCACGGAAGAAATAACCGAGATCTGCCTCAGAAGCTCGAGTACCATATGTAGAAATCTTGAATGTATTTGAAAAAAAAAAATCTACCTATGCTCAGAAAAAAAAATAAAGATACAGAAAATTTTATTTTCGGATTTGTGACAATTGTCAGGTAACAAATAATGAAAAATAAAAAACTTATGAGACACTCAAATATGTACTTGCCAGATTCTAAAAGTAAGTTATTGTTTTGTTTATCTATGATAGTGAGCGAAAAGCGATTTTGCTTTATAAATATCAAGTATTTTAATTAATTGTTGGAAATAGAATACCTATTGAGGATTGCAAATAACAAAAAAAAAAAAATCAAATTGCCGTTTTAGTATTTGTTTTAATATATCAGCAACTTCAAATTCGATTATCTCAAAATCAATAAAATGTTACTTAATGACTTTTTTGCAATATGCCGGAGATTTATTTTAATTTCATATTTATTTACATTTTCCATGGAATGAATTAATTCCAATCAGATTATTTAAAGATTAGTTAAAAAAATAAAATCATTCCGTTCTTAAATTATTATTAGCGGGTAATGTTTAGAAACAGTTTATAATTTAAGAATAAATTAATGGTATCCTGGTTTGAAAGTTCCTCAATATTAAAATTCTACAAAAATATTATTCCAGCTAAAAATGTATAGTCTTGTCAAGATGTTGAGGCCTAGTTAAATGAATATGATGGTATTTAAAAGTTGAAAGTTAATTAATTTACTGAATTTATAGTTGGAATCGGTAACGATAAGGTTCGTTTACTTTTTCTTTTATTTTTTTTTAAATAATAATGCATACATATATAGTTGGAGCAACAACCCGGGTCTAACGGAGTAGGCCGCCTCCAAAAGTCCCCACCAGTTGGATCTATCTGTTGCTGCAGCTCTCCAGTTCCTAACGCCGAGGAGATTATGTGCGTCCGCTGTGATGGAGTCAGCCCACCCTTGGCCTACCCAATCTTTCCTTTCCAATGCTCTGCAGCCAATGTCCTCTTAGGGATGTTGTCCTCCTTCATCCAAGTGGCCCGCCCATTAGAGTTTCCCAATCTTGATCCACTTGATGGTATCAGGATCTCTGTACAGTCTTGAGAGTTCCTGGTTCTTCCTCCTTATCCAGGTGTCTCCCTCTTGAACCGGGCCAAAAATTCTTCTCAATATCTTCCATAAAAACATCAGAAAAAGGTTCTCACTGGCTCTAGTGAAGGTCTCTGACCCATACGTAAGAACCGGACGAATCAGAGTCTTATATAGGCCGATCTAGGTCTTGTTGGAAAAAGGTCTGCTTTATTTAAAGTATTATGCTAGCCCGAAATAGCTTCGGTTGGCTGCGGAAGTTTTCCGGTTGATCTCCTAACGGACTAACGTGTGTGCGTAGCACCGCCTTTGCCCGGCAACCTTATCTGTGAAACAATGGATTTAAAATAGTCAAGAGTTCGCGTACCGGTGCCGGGGGAGTCTTTAAAATCCCCGCCCACATTATCATGGATCATCTTCTTATATGCTTCGTTCTACCGGGTTGTGCATTCTAGGCAGTCGTCGTCTAACTACGGTGTTCTGGCATTCCTTTTTGAAGCCCGAGCGTCTCCTTCGCTGTATCTTAGAGAGCTTCGGCTATTCCTACCCACTGATCATCTAATGTCTCGGCTCTCACTCTCAACTCCTCCGCTATCTTAACTTCCAATCGCTGCCGGTATGTTATGGCACTGTTCCATGTTTTTTTTTAGTTTGGATACGTCATATTTCTGTTGGGCTGGACTAGCTGCTACATATTTTTTCGTTGATGTTCGTGGGCGGATCCTGGCGATGCTGAAGAAATGATCCGAGTCGACGTTTGCGCTCTAGCAGATTCTAACTCCAATAAGGTTAGATATGTGGATGTGGATACAGGAACTAATCAAAATGTGGTCTATTTGTTTCGTGACTGCCCCATTTGGCGATTTGGATGTTCTTGCCAGGAAACAATGTGCTGCCAATGACTAGACCTTGTGCTGCAGCAAAGTCTATGAGCCTTTGACCATTCTCATTCGTGATCTCAAGTTGACCGAAGACTCCCGTTGTTCGACTATAAATGGTGTCCTTACAAGATGGGCATTAAGATCACCAAGAATGATCTTTTTATAATTTTTGGGGCAGTTCCTGAAAGTGCTTGCCAATGCTTCGTAGAAGATATCCTTATCCTCGTCTGATGAGACTTCAGTTGAAGTGTGGCAGTTTATAATAGATAGATTAAAGAATCTTCCTTTGACACGCATATAACACAGTCAGGGGGAGATAGGATTGAACTTAAGGACAAACAAGCGTGACTTTCCTCTTACTACAAATCCTGTGCCAAAGACATGTTTGCTTTCATGGCAACTATAACATACTGTGTGGGATCTCTTTTCTAGCGAATCACATCCGAGCCAGCGTACCTTCTGGATTGCTGTAATGTCCACAGGGTATATGTCAAGTTCTGCAAGGATCGCCCGAAGGGCTCCTGGTCTTTGTAGGAATAAAATATTCCAATAAGCTAATCTTAAGTCATTATGGCGATTCCTCGGTCTATTCCTTAAAATCAGTCCGACTTCTGTGCTTTGTAGAGGTTTCGTGGTAGTTAAATTTTGGGAGAATGGATTATCGGCCCACTGCCCCCAGAGTCAGGTGGAGGATCTGCCGCCAATGAGTGTCCTGACGCACTTCCCCATCCGGGGCATCGACTCAGGGGTGGTGACCCTGGGGACTGTACTGTTATTGACCTTTGTCTGTAATGATAGGTGTTGTAGTGTGATGTTATTGAGTACAGTGTGCATGTCAGTGTGAGTGTTCCTCCCAACCTGGAGGACCAGTGGCTGGCTGCAGCCTTACGGCTGGGCGATGGGGCCGCCACATCCCTACGCCATATAATAATGATATCTAAACCAAACCACATATTTCAAAGAAATCATTCAGTACATGAGCATGCACAGAATCAAACATACAAAGTGTATGCAGTAATATGTTTCAAAGCAAACGTGTAAAATAATTTATTCTAGTGGAAATAGGAATATATAATCAACTTCAGTAAAAACGGTTAAAACATATCTATTTTTTAATACTTTATTTTTTTTCTCAATATATTTAGAATTTTTTCCTAATAAATTTAATATTTCTAAGTATTGTTCAAAAGCTTCTGTGGCAGGTATCGGTCATTTCATCCGTGGATTGAACCTGAGTTCGGTAGTTAAGATTGACTCATTCAGTCTCTGTTAAATGCATACCTTGTGACCTGAATATCTTCATAATTTCCAAGGGATAACTCGTTTTTTTTTAATTTTTATTAATTTAATATCTTTATTCTTGATTTTTTAGTGTTTTACTCTCTGATTGATGTACATTGAATCCGAAATCACATGAAACCTTCTGTCAGTTGAACATTCTTTTAATGTTAATCCAGATAGATTTTTTAGTTTGATCCTGAAATAATAACAATTCGTTTCCTCCACAAAGTATTATTTAATTTTTCTAAATCTGAAAATAGTGCTTTTAGCTGTTTTTTATATCTATTGTCAATATCATAATTAATGAAATTTACATATTAAGGTTTTATTTAAACTGGCAATTTACTCATTTCCTTACAAAACAATAATTTCCTTTATAAATAAATAATTAAATATTTTTTCATTCTGTATATACATATTTTTTTTAAAAATTAACTAGCAGTTTATTGTACTGTTCTAAGATAACTAAAAGAGTCGTTTTAGAAAATTATTATTACAATTTTTCCTGATTTGAAGATTCTAATACAATTTTAATTTTAATAATAGTTTAATAATAATAAAAAAATAAAATAATAATAATAATGGGACGAATCTATAATAACGGATCATACAGTGCGTCACAACAGACCCGATATCCTTATCATAGATTTAGGAGCAAAGAAGGCAAAGTTGATTGATTCCAAACGCAACATAAGCACGACCGTGGGAGAGAAGCTCCGTAAGTACCAAGAACTGGCGATTGAATTAAAGGAATTGTACCATTTGGAGAGCGTATTGGTTACACCAATAATAATATCAACCAATGGTCTGATCCCAAAGTCAACGGTGGCAGGTACAGACGGCTTGGAATTACCCCTGGATGTGTTAAGAGAGGCTCAGCAAGCGGTTCTCTTGAATAAAGCCAGGATTACAAGAAAATTTTTAAATATCTAAAAATATTATAACTGTAGGTGGTTGGACTTGTCCCCCACCTTCAACTTTGAATCCGCAAAGGCGAGAATAAAAAAAAATAAATTGACTACGATTCATTGATTTACATTT